AAATGTATTTATACACCTTGAAGGGGATAGGTAGTCAGCTTTGGCCCTTATTAAGAGAGACACAACTGGATTGATACAATTTCTAAATGGCTAGGTTTGTATAATACCCTAATTTAGGATTAAATGGGGCTGGGCAGTCTGTGGTTATGGGAAGCCATTCCTTGTCCTAGCATGTTGTGCGAACCAGGCTATCGTATTAAATTTGTTGGTGCACGATCCGTTCCGTGAATACCACCATTGTACTTAAATTGAGATTTAAAATTAAATGTGTTGTGTGAACCTATCCAAAGCAGAGTTAGCCTAGGTCAGTGTTTCTCAACCTTGGCAGCTTGAAGACGTGTGGACTTCAATTCCCAGAATTCCCCAGTCAGCATGGCTGGCTGGGGAATTCTGGGAGTTGAAGTCCACACGTCTTCAAGCTGCCAAGGTTGAGAAACGCTGGCCTAGGTGGTCACTAAGAATCAACACAGATTTGATGGCACATAATCAATCAAATCAAAAACTACTTCCAACTGAAAGATGAGGCCTAGAAGCTTAATAAAATTCAAGGGAATTGCCCTTGAGAAAAGCCTTGTCTGAAAGCACCATTTGGGCTAGAAGCAACTAAAAAGGAGATGGGGAAAGATGGCTGCAGCTCTTCTGAAAATCCTCCCTCCCTCCCTCCCATGTTTTCCCTGTTCCCATAGGAATTCAGTGACCTTAAACCTCATACTAATTCTCCATTTTGCTCTCAGGCTTCATTGATTTCCCTGATTAGATGATTAACAGATTCCCTCTGCGGCCCCATAGCTTTTCTGCACTGGCATCATGCCATTAAACTCTGTTTCCAGTGTGGCTGCCATTGATCAGCTTGGATGTTTGGGAAAAACTTGGCTTTTTTTACAAGAGCTGGGCTCCTCCTTATTCTATGGGAGAGAACAATAGTTAGGAAATGTTGTTTCCTTAAACCTTTCCAATCAATTCAATGCATACCCTGCTGGATATAGCCTTCAGCTGCAGAGGTTTTCATTTCTCTCAGTCTTTTTGAATGGTGTTTTATTGATGCTTGGGAGCAGTTATACATATCAATAAAATAAAGCACAAAAAAGAATTTCAACACAATCTTCCTTACAATCCCATCAAGGTTGCTTTAACTGTCGTTTTATTCATGCTCAAGGGCACTGTGGGTGCAATTTAGGTGAAAACTGCAGCTACTATGTATATGGCAGTGATAGAACCCATCAAACAGAAGAATCCCCGTTTTGACATCAGTAGGGTCAAACCTTGCTCTTGTTGGCTGATGTTTAGATTTCCAGCTCTATTTTGTCTTCAGTTGTCGGAGTTCTGATAAGCCAAAGCTATTACTACTTGTTCAGATTCCCAGTTCTCTTCTTCCAGTTGCAAGTTCCCAAACTGGACTTTACAGCTTCTGTTTCTTTCTCCCATTCCATTCTCGACTCCCACATTATGTTCATGGTCTAAAGAGGGCTATGTCTCTAAGGGTGGTTCTCGACACAGGTCCCATTGAGTGACTGCTTCTTGCATCAATTACCAGAAAGATGGGAATTCTTTTTTTCTTACAAGACTGATTTATATTACAAAGGTAAGTGGAAGCAAATGTTTGTTGAGTCTGTTGGGGCAGAGGTCCATGGACGAGCCTTTTAAATTTCATCCTCATGAAGCTTGAAATTTACAAATCAGACTTTCTAGAACTAAAGCAGGCAAAGGGAATCATGCAAGTATTTGGACCAGAATCTGATCCTGGGATGGACAGGACGTAGAAGTCATTTCAGACATGGCAATTTTTCAGCATTAATTCTCCTCTAATTTAGATAATCTGCAGGAAATGGCCCATATCTGTCCCTGCACCCTAATTTTTTTATGGAACCCAGAGCCCCCTGAAATCACACTGCTGGAATTGGGTGTCAAAATGGCAATTTGGGGCAGCACAACTTTTTTTCTTTTCGCTTGTAATTTAAACTGTAAGCAAAATGTAAAAAGGCTCTGGAGGCTTCCAATGCACCTATTTTTGGTAATCCTTCACCTCTGTAAAATGAATCAAACATTTTCAGTTCTGCCCATTATGATGTTGCTATGCCCCCTATACTCCCTACAGTTTTCATGGATCAAAATGAATCTGTGAAGGAGGAGATGCACTCTCCTCTAGAGGAGATGGACTCTAATTTAATTTTTTAACACAGGAAAAGAGAGAGACCTAGATGACCTGTGAGTGTAAGTAAAATGCATACATGCTACAATTCTGGAATTACTGTACCTTAAGTAGAATTCAGGAGGAGAAACAGCTCAGAACATGGTGAAACTATCAGCACTCTCTCAGCAAGCGGCAGGAGGTGGCTGAAGTCTGGCCTTGGAAATTAACCATTATTAATTTTGAATGCCAAGACTCCTGGAAGAAGGCAATTGCCATCTTTTTGTATTGTTGCCAAGAAAATTGGCTGAAAGAGTTCCCATGAATTGACATCAGTTCAAATGCAACCATATCCTTTCACCAGCATCTTGATAAAACTTGATAAAACACATACACAAAGAATCTTGATCCAGTTAGATACTGGATAAAATCAAGTTAGGCGACCATGCCATTGTAAGCCTTGTTAACAGGGGAATTGGAAAAACCTAAAGGAACTGGGGTTATAACTAGTCATTCATGAGGCTATATATAGAATTCATGAATTTTAAACTAAGTCGATAGAAATCTCAAGTACATCGATCTACTTCAGGAACAAGGCAATGCAAAACTTCACTTTCAGAAAACATTTCTATATGGGGAATTTTAGAACCACTATTCCCTGAAAAGATTTGGGTAAAGTGTATTGGAAAAAAAAGAGAGGAACTCCTTCAGCTTAACTCTCCTTGGAGTTGCTTCTTTGCTTTTACATGATTGATCTTTTATTCCTTAGCTAAAAGAGCAAGGAGAATGTCTCATGTGTCCGGGTCCTCTTGACTGATTCACTGATTATGTGCTATCAAGTTTATGTCAACTCTTAGCCAACATGTAGATGGACCTTCTCCGGGATGATCTGTCTCCAACCTGGCCCTTCAGGTCAATTTCCTCTTCTTCTGCATCAGTGGTTGAAGGATAAACTTAGATAAAACACTGTCATATTAAGGGATGTCCACCAAGTCTGATTTATATTATTTGGTCATTGACTGCGCTGTACCGAAGTTCTATCTTTCCTATATCCCTTCTGACTATGAAAGCAGCACCATTTCTTCTTTTCTGCGTATGTTCTCCATAGTAGACCGCATGTTCTAACTGAAAGCGTCTAGTTCCTATCCATTTCAATTGGCTGATGCCTAAGGTGTCTCTGCATAGTTGATGCGTATCATCTTTCACCGTGTTGGGTTCCTTGTGTTCCATGTTCCTATTATAATTCTGTTTTTGTGGCTTCAGTCTTTCTTTTCCTGCATGGCAACCTCAGGAATTAGATGACCTCAAGGCTTTAATCTAGCTGCATTATAAACACCATTAGTACTCCAAAAGATCCTCAGCTCTTCTTCAATAGCATGTTGAGTGCAATCAGACCCAAGAGGCCATCATCCAGGGTTACGTTGTCAATCACTTTGTATTGTCTATCCATGTGGTTTTCTTGGTAAAATACAGGAGTGGTTTATCATTGCCTTCTCCCACGCAGCATGAATGGATCCCTTGGCCATTGTCCCTAAAGTGATCATCTGCCTCCAGCATCTTCCGGTGTTACTGCTGCCTAATCTAAGCGCCTGCTTGCTTTAGGTGGGCAGCTGGGATGACCTTCATGCCGTGGGTGACCCTGCTGGGAATGTATACTCTTGGCGGACACTTTCAATGTTCTTCGCTCATCCCTCCCAGGAACACTTCCACCCCCACCATGATGAATCAGCACAGCAGGACTTGAGAGGGCCAGACCCTCTTACATAGTAAGACAGAAAAACGGAGAAGAGTTAAATAAACAAAACCACCCGTCTCATAATCTGTGTTGGAGAAGCTGGAAGGAAATATCTTTAAACAAAGAACAGAAAGGGGATTACTGTTCTGGCCAAATTTTCTCCAAATGTTTTACCAATGTAGCTCAGCTGAAGTCAGTGATGGTAACTGCAGCCGGTCTTCTCTGTTGCACAATAATTAATTTTTTCTCCCCAAGCAATGCAGCATTATAGCTGTCTCCACCAATGTTCTTAATGGAGGGATGCTACAGAAGTACTGTATGTATAGATTATCCAAGCACAGAGGACATGAAATAGGAGAAACCCAATGGAGTCATCCAGTGAAGCTGGCTGGTGGGACATTGAGAACAGATAACAGAGAAAGTCTGCTGGAGGCAAACACAAAACTCATTGAGTGACTTTAAGCCATCTTTCTTAAGAAGAGGCTGGACAGCCACCTCTCACGATTGCTTTAAGCAACCTCTCAGTCTCACCTGATTTATAGGGTTTTTTAAATTATTATTTTAAACAAACAAACAAATAAATAGGAAGCTGGGGGGCTGTAGATTGAAGTGCCAGCCTCTAGCATAAACTAGATAAATATCCAAAATTAATTCACAAAGCAGAGCATATGTGCCTTGCTGCAGCTGTCTTCAGTCTAGGAAAGTAACAGTAAATTTCATGATTCTGGTGATAATAGTTTTGAGCTGCCCTGATGGGCTTGTTTATAACATTCCCAGATGATGTATGTGAATGCTTTCAGCAAATCTAAATGTATCATGCAAATGCTAACTATGAATAACACTAAATCTCAGAAGACCGAATTCATGGGGAGTAAAAATTCCAGTGCTGGTTAGAGATAAGAAAATGCCAGTACTCACCGATTTCTTTCCCTGTAGATAGCATAGCTAGAATAAATGGTGTAAAATCTTTGGGAACACATTCTTTGGGGCATCATTTACAAAGCTCAAAAATGTCAGCCCTCTGCATCTCGGAATTTGGGTGTGTGGTGTTGGGGAATCCAGAATTTTTTTTTAAGCATGAAATGCGGACTATGATTGACTTCTCTTTTTCCTTTTCTTCCTCTCAAATGAGCACAGCAGGTTCCTTGCTATTCACAAGATGGAAGGGAGGAAGCCTCGGTGGGGCACTGTGGCACCTTCAAGAGAAGACCTCTCTAGATGCAGTTTCATGGAACTGTGTTGAATATAGTAGTTGTTACCTATTGGAAAAATGCCGGAGGGGATCTCCTACTTCCCAACTATGGAGTCGGGGAACTTCAGTGCTGCTAGAAATCTTGCATCCTGCTTCCGTGGAGTGAATATCAGCGAGGAGTACAAGGAGAACATTGCATCCCCTTGGTTCGCCACGACGTTTGGCCTGATTGGCCTCTGCTCCAACCTCTTTGCCTTGTGTGCGCTGGTCAATTCCTCCCGGAAGATGCAGAGCCAGCCCGGTTCCTCCTTCCTGGTCTTCCTCTGTGGCTTGGTGGTGACGGACTTCATGGGCCTTCTGCTCACTTTCGTCATCGTGATTCCCTACCACTTCTTCCGCTTTGACTGGCGGAATGTAGATCCTGGATGCCACCTCTGCAACTTCATGGGCTTTATCATGGTCTTTTTCGGGCAGTGCCCTCTCTTGTTAGGTGCTACCATGGCTGGAGAGCGTTTTGTGGGTATCAACCGACCCTTCTCCCGGTCCACTAGTATTTCCAGACGCAGGGCCTGGACCTTGGTGTGTGTGGTGTGGGCCTTGGGTTCTTTTTTTGGCCTCTTGCCCTTTTTTGGCCTAGGGGACTATAGCCTGCAGTACCCCAACTCCTGGTGTTTCCTCACTTTGGTCCATGATGCCAGGAATGTTGTTTTCTGCCTCCTTTTTGCCCTATTGGGCCTCTTCTGTGTGGGTCTTTCCTTCCTCTTCAACACAGTCAGCGTCGTGACCCTCTGCCGAGTCTATCATGACTCTGAGTCCGTGCAACGCCGGCGGGATAGCGAGGTGGAGATGATGGTCCAGCTTGTGATGATCATGGTTATTGCAAGTGTCTGTTGGCTTCCCTTGCTGGTAAGTCCACGAGCCTTTGCCTCCTTCCCAGAGAACGTCTCCCACCACCACCTTTTACTTTGTTTCAGCCAAGAAGGTGATGGCAGCCAATGTATAGCATTTTAAAGTACCTTCTAAGACTTTTATATGACCCTTTGTTGTAATAATATTTATCATAGCAGAAAACTAGTGGGGTTGTTCTCTACCACCATCCCTCCCAATCTCTCAGCTTCTGTCTTTTTTGATGGACAGGTGGGCACACTTCCAAAGGGGGCCCTTGGCTGCAGCCCCCTCTCATTTTTA